AGTGGGCAGATTCTATAGTTAATAGCAGGCTGTCTATTGGCTATGGACCTGCCACTGACTACTGACAATTATAAGGGGAGCAGACCTGAAGGGGAATTAATGTCTGTGTATCCTCAATAGGCTTCACCCACCGAGCTTCAAAAGTCTTTGGCTGCTGGGTTGTCTGAGTGACAGCAACTACAGCAGGAGGAAGCTGAGAAGCTTCTCCAGTTTCAGTGCACCTCCACATGCAATGCTTGCCCCAGATTTATGTACCTGTTTGCAAAACATGCATTGATTTGTCACTTGCAATCAACATTTGTCCCGCGGAAGTGTCTTGGAATTATAAACAGTGTCTTAGACACTCTTTATGAATTCTCCTGATAGTTTTTTTTTATTTAATTTGTCTGCAAAAAATAGAAATACACTTTGAAGTGATTTTTTTATATGACTAACACTATTACATTTACATATTTTACAATTGTATTAGAGAGCTGTACATTAGCCACTAGAGAGATCTGTCAGTGGTTCATTGTCTCTCTAAATAATTGTTGAGATAATATATTAGTATCAATCACTTGGTTGAGATTTGGACTGATACCAACTGTTTATTATAATCTTTTGAAATACAATGTGTTATACCAAAATGTAATCATTCAGCTGGCTGAATCAGAGATCTGTATTCTAAGAGGGGGCAGTAAAGCACATCCACTGGGTAGCACTACAAGGCAGGATGCATTATCTGCATATGGAACAAACAAAAAACAAAAATGTAAAACATCATTATATACTGAAATTATTCATATCAGGTGAATATCTATATCAAAGTAAATGTAAAAGTCCAAACATATACTTTAAAGAATAATATCCAAATAGAGAACATATGTCAGATTTGTACTGACAACAACTATTTTATACATATTTTTATACAGTTTGTTATGCAATATGTTTTCAGAAAATGCAAGAAAATACAGATATAGAACTCTCAACAGATATGAAAATGAAACAACAAATAGTGATGATTGAAAATCTGATTGTATGCAATAAGTAGATGTTCTATGAAAAAGAATACAGAGCTATACTGATTGTTGAAAGCGTAAAGGATATTCTAATGTATCATTCTAAAGATGTGCCATTACAATTCAAATTGAATTGCAGGCTTGAAAACAGGTAGAAGTTGTAATTTTCTCATATATTGCTTTGCTTTTCACTGGACAAAGCTATACAATACACTGAGATATGAAAAAACAGGTAGTGTATACTAGTATTATGCATTCATATATGATGATACAAATAAGAAACAGAACATTTCAACAATGAGCAGAAAAACTGCCTATTAATGTGTTCGGTGTATATAGGCATTATGTGTGTATAACTCATTAACCTATATCATAGAGGATGCATTTTACAGAGTAAATATGGAAGTGCCTAAAAAAGTCTTTTCTGGCATGATCACCAGGTACTCTATCAATGAATGCTGCATTTTTAAACAGATGAAACAACTTTTGAAATAACCTGAATATTTTAAAGCATGTGTGATATTTATCAGGGCTGACCATACTACTACCAGGGGCAATATTTCACCATTTCATAGCTGCATTGGTTATTAATGTACTTATTCAATGAAGCAAAAAAAGTCCCTTTACAGGAACCTCTCCAATTATTTGATGGCCTTTTCATAAAATGTGAAATGGTTTGTAACATTTAAACAATATTATTAGAGGCAGCAGATAAATAAACATTAGTAGAAATAATGTCTTATTCTATACCAACCATAAATTAAAGTAGAACTAAAGTCAAATCTTTTTTTTTTAGTTTTGGACAGAGCAGAGATAGATTAGAATACCTATTAGGTTTTTATTGATGGCGTTGCCTCTGTTAAGGAGATTCACCCTCTCTATTTGTCCTGTTTGCCATTATTTCTGAAAGTCAAAGCAAAGAAAACCCACAAATTTTGGGTTTTCTCCAGAAAAGTGACAGTAGGAAAATCTTCCAATGGGGACACTAGTTCTGGTGACAGGGGGGTCCCCAAGGAATTTCCTTAATTTGCAGGGATTTCCTCTCACTTCCTATATGGCTATGGGACAGGAAGTGAAGGTAAATCTCCCCAATGAGACACAGATGGCAAAAAATAAACTGACAGGGGTTATAACCCTCCCTTACTCTATCCAATATAAAAAAAAAGTTTGCCTATAGTCTTCTACCTTAAGTCTTCAACTGAGAAATGTACAGTTTTCATTGTGCTCTTAAGCTAATGGGATTAGTCACAAATCTCTGTACCTGACATTCAACCTATGCATTTTTATGTATGCATATCCAAGCGCTACAAAGCACAAATGCACTTCAGAAGAATTCCAAGTCTGAAAAGAAATTAAGAAAAAGTGTTCCTCCAGGGTAAAAAGGCTGTTTTAGCTGGTAGAGGATAGATCTCTTACCCAGGCAACTGAGATCTCTGCAGTTAGTGCTGGGTGAACATTAAAAGTTATCCCCCAACTCTTTTGGATAAAGCTCAGGAAACAGCTATATGATGACATAGTTTTGCCAGATGGCTTGTTGGAGTTGAAGACTTGGACCCAGGGGACTTCTACCTCAGCTATGACTACTGTTTTGCAGAAGAGTGAAAAGATTTGGTGCTCCCCCTACTGTGAACACAATGACCCATGAATGGATTGGAAGGAAGAAGACCCCTTCTATCTTAGGGTTTTGGGCTCTCTGGTTTGAGAAAGAAGAGTACTCTTGCCCTCCTGTGGCTTTCTTTATAATCTAGTTAATAAAGACACCAAAATAAACAGGATCCCACAAAGAGCAAAGGCACAAAGGACTTCTTTGAAGTTTGGTCTGCAAACCAACAATTAAGCCACATTGTTCTCTTTGAATTGTATAACATGTTTTCTGATATTTTTTTGAAAATTGCAAATATCTGTTGATCCTGCCAGAAATCCATTACAGTCATACATTCCTGTAAACTTTGTCATTACTGCACTGAAATCCCAAGCATTGTTATCAATCCTGCACAGTTAACTCTGTGAACATCTTCTCCCTTTATAATGGAGATGATGTGAAGGGCAGGGGATCTGTAGAACAAATCAGAAGCCACCAACCTAGAGTTTCCGCTCATCCATAGATAAAATGAGTGAGCAATGTTGCCCCTGAAACAAATAAAAAGAAAAGCTAAACTAATGCAGCCACCACACCTAAGGACTAGGTAACTGCAAAATATTTCATTTTTGCATTTAGATGTATTTTAAGGCAATGGCTGTACAGGAGTTTGAATTGTGGATCATGTGACAGTTCTAAGGAGACACTGGAAAAACAGAAGCAAGGCAAACAGCCCAAAATTGTGTGAGATAAAGGGATGGGCGCCACTCAGACCTGTCCTTGGAGTCCAATGTAGATAGAATGGCCTCAGCTTCCACTCTGGCCATACTCTGATGCATTTCTTTTCGCCCCGCCAACCGGGGCTTGATCACAGAGATGTCTCTGTGAACAAATCCTCGGAGGGCAATGGTGTATTTTGGTTTTGTGCTGCCCTAGGCAAGACTAAAATCAGGCACCCCCCCCCACATCTAAATTTGTCCCACCCCTTCCTGTTTAAGATCCACCCTTCATCTGTAAACCCCACCCTGTCCTATTTAGGCTCCACCTCTTCATATTAAAGCTCCACCCACTGACAGTGATGGCCCATTATTCTTCCCGCTGACATCAATGATGTGCCGCTATTCCTCCCACTGACACCAACGATGGGGCACTATTCCTCCCGCTGACACCAACAATGGGGCACTATTCCTCCCACTGACACCAATGATGGAGCACTATTCCTTCCACTGATACCAATGATGGGGCACTATTCCTCCCACTGATACCAATGATGGGGCACTATTCCTGCCACTGATACCAATGATGGGCACTATTCCTCCCACTGATACCAATGATGGGGCACTATTCCTACCACTGATAACAATGATGGGGCACTATTCCCCCCACTGACACCAATGATGGGGCACTATTCCTTCCACTGATACCAATGATGGGCACTATTCCTTCCACTGATACCAATGATGGGCACTATTCCTCCCACTGATACCAATGATGGGGCACTATTCCTCCCACTGATACCAATGATGGGGCACTATTCCTCCCACTGATACCAATGATGGGGCATTATTCATCCCACTGATACCAATGATGGGGCACTATTCCTCCCACTGATACCAATGATGGAGCACTATTCCTCCCACTGATACCAATGATGGAGCACTATTCCTCCCACTGATACCAATTATGGGGCACTATTCCTTACACTGATACCAATGATGGGGCACTATTCTTTCCACTGATACCAATGATGGGACACTATTCCTCCCACTGATACCAAAGATGGGGCACTATTCCTCCCACTGATGCCAATGATGGGACACTATTCCTCCCACTGACACCAATGACGTGGCACTATTCCTCCCACTGATACTGATGATAGGGCACTATTCCTCCCACTGATACCAATGATGGGTCACTATTCCTCCCACTGATACCGATGATGGGGCACTATTCCTCCCACTGATACCAATGATGGGCACTATTCCTCCCACTGATACCAATGATGGGGCACTATTCCTCCCACTGACACCAACGGTGCAGCATTATTCCTCCCACTGACACCAAGGATGGGGTACTATTTCTCCCACTGGCACCAATGTTGGGACACTATCCCCCCCACTGACACCAATGACGGGGCACTATTCCCCCCCACACTGACATCAATGATGGGGCACTATGCCCCCCTCCCCAAACTGACACTAATGACGGGGCACTATTCCTCCCCCCCACTGACATCAAGAACCGGGCACTATTCCTTCCCCACTGACACCAACGATGGGGCACTATTCCTCCCCCCACTGACACCAACGATGGGGCACTATTCCTCCCCCCCACTGACTCCAACGATGGGGCACTATTCCACCCCCCACTGACACCAACGATGGGGCACTATTCCACCCCCCACTGACACCAATGATGGAACACTATTCCTCCCCCCACTGACACCAATGATGGAACACTATTCCTCTCACTGACACCAATGTTGGGACACTATCCCCCCCACTGACACCAATGATGGGGCACTATCCCCCCCCCACACTGACATCAATGATGGGGCACTATGCCCCCCTCCCCAAACTGACACCAATGATGGGCACTATTCCTCCCCCCACTGACACCAAGGACGGGGCACTATTCCTCCCCCCACTGACACCAAGGATGGGGCACTATTCCTCCCCCCACTGACACCAATGACGGGGCACCGTTGGTGTCAGTGAGAGGAATAATGCCCCACCGTTGGTGTCAGTGGGAGGAATAGTGCCCCATCATTGGTATCAGTGGGAGAAATAGTGTTCCATCATTGTTGTCAGTGGGGGGAATAGTGCCACACCATTGTTGTCAGTGGGAGGAATAATGCCCCACCGTTGGTGTCAGTGGGAGGAATAGTGTCCCACCGTTGGTGTCAGTGGGAGGAATAGTGCCCCATCATTGGTATCAGTGGGAGGAATATTGCCCCATCATTGGTGTCAGGAATAGTGCCCCATCCTTGGTGTCAGTGGGGGGAGGAATAGTGCCCTGTCCTTGGTGTCAGTGGGGGGAGGAATAGTGCCCCATCGTTGGTGTCAGTGGGGGGAGGAATAGTGCCCCATCGTTGGTGTCAGTGAGTGGGAAATAGTGCCCCATCATTAGTATCAGTGACACCAATGATGGGGCAATATTCCTCCCAATGACACTTTGTCCCAATGAATCAGCAGAGCTGACAGAGATGTTATATCTACTGTACTTAATTGAGGCTGACTTTCTGTGAAGAGGGATATGCCTATGCTTCTTAGTGTCCAGCTGCTTGGTTGCAGGATAAACACCAATGTTTATTGTGTCCCCCATTAAACACTGACAGAAAAGCATTTTTTTCCCAGACAAATGCATTGAATCAGAGTAGCTAACCATTTAATAATGGCTGATACAGCAAATTGTATCCATTGGGGTTGATTTGCTAAAACTGGAAAGTACAAAATCTGGTGCAGCTCTGCATAGAAACCAATCAGCTTCCAATTTTTTTATTGTTTTTTTTTGTCAAAGCTTAATTGAACAAGCTGAAGTGAGACACTGATTGGCTACCATGCACAGCTGCACCAGATTTTTCACTCTCCAATTTTAGTAAAGCAACCCCATTGTGTATCAATGTATTTTCTCACTTCAAACAAAATGTTTCTAAAAACTCGAGCATGTATGGATTGAACTTTATTTGAATTTGAAGTTTCAGAAACTTCTGTTCTAACATAGGACTAAAAACATTGCAGCTTAGAGCAAAACCATGTCAAAGATGTCTATAGACTTGGGGCAGTTGAAAGTGCTTCTATGGGGGCTGCTCATAGTTTAATCAATGTAGGAAAGACTCAGTGCATATTCTGGAAAGTCTTCCACCTTGGGGCAGTTATGGCCACCAATGTAGGCTTGGGAGAAATGTTTTAAGGCCCACACCTCTTTCAAGTGAAGATGTTAGGGATTTTAATCTCATTTGAAACATCTTTTACAGGATACACGTATGTTGTCTCTTCTATTATATTCCTTACCCCACTTAAATAGGGGTGCTACCATTATGGACATTTTATGAGAGAGTTCCTTCTAATTTTATATAGATTTAGATTATTCCTAAAGATCACTGTTTGTACATCTTAAGAATCAAACCTATTGTTAAAAAAATTTGAGTTGGAGCAACAGGCTATACAAAACACTGTATCTAGTCAAATATAGAGATACATGCGATGACATTTCAAATGTTACATATAGGGTGACATTTCATGCAACCCTTAAATCTGCAGTTTGAAGCATACACTGGAGTTGATTTACTACAACTGGAGAGTGTAAAATCTAGTGCAGCTCTGCACAGAAACCAATCAGCTTCCAGACTTTTTTTTTTTTTATTGTCAAAGCTTAATTGAACAAGCTGAAGTTAGAAGCTGATTGGCTACTATGCAGAGCTGCACCAGAGTTTGTACTCTCTGGTTTTAGTAAATCACTATATATATATTTTCAAGGCTTTTATGCTACAAAAACTGATGCACAATAAAATATGCTAATTTTACTATGATGATATGATATGGTGTTAAAAGATGCATTGCAATCACCTAAGTTACATAGTAAGGTTGAAAAAAAGACACATGTTTATTTAGTTCAACCCATAGAGAGAAAAAAAAAAACATATAAAGCATAATCCAATTTGCTCCTGTGGGGTAAAAAGATTCCTTCCTAATCCCCCAAGAAGCAATGGATCAAATTTACCTATAAATTTTAGAGCTCTGTTATATTTTGTGATTTTTACAAATGAATCCAGGCCTTTTTTTTAAAGGACTCACTGAGCTGGCCAGAACCAACTCTTGAAAGAGTCTGTTTCATATTTTCACAGCTCTCACTGTGAAGAAACCTTTCCACATTTGGAGGTTATATCTCTTTTCCTCCAGACATAAATAGTGTCCCCTTATCCCCTGTCATTTGTGAAGAAGTCAAAAACTTTACACGAAGTTAACTATATGGGCCACTTATGTATTTATACACGTTGATCATATCCCAGACCCTTAATCTCCTCTTCTCAAGGGAGAATCAATTCAGTTCCTCTAATATTTCCTCATAGTTGAGCTCCTCCATGCCTCTTGCCAGTTTAGTTGACCTACTCTGCGCTTTCTTCAGTTCTATGATATCCTTTTTTTTGAACTGGTGTCCAAAACTGAAATCATTCCTCAGTCATTGTTACCCTTTGTAGAGTCAGTGCCTAGGGAATTCATCCTCTTCTGGTGTTTCAAAGAACTGTCCGGGACCCGGTGGTTGGCATGTGATATGATGAATCACAAAACCCAAAACCGGATATGCAGAATCATGTACACTGTATATACATGATTCTGTGCAGAGTGGCCACCCTGTAGCAGTAGATCTACAGAAGCCAAAAGATAACTGAATATAAAAGTAACTGTTTACATAGCAAAGGGAATGTTTACTGTTGTGGAACACTACAGCAAATACTATTCAAATGTAATAAAGTCTACTACCTCCGCTCTTTCTCTCTAGGGTGTTGCATCTCTGCCCTCCCAACGGCAGAATTTTGTAATCTCAGTTCCCTTCCATACTATCCTACAACCACAGTGTTTTTAGAGGAAGTTATTGTTTTGTGATTTTTCTATATACACATACAGTGCTCAGCATAAATGAGTACAGCCTTTTGACAAGTAAGATTTTAATCAATACCTCAATGAGCACAAGAACAATTTCAAACATTTTAACAAAATTGAGTTTTATAGAACATTTGCTTTTCTCATTACATGAAAGTAAGGTTAATAATATAACTTAGATTACAAAATCTTCAGTTGTACTCAAATTAATTGATGCAAAAATGAATACACCCTACAGAAAAAACTCCATCTAGTATTTTGTATGAACTCCACCATTTGTAAGGACAGCAACAAGTCTAGGCAAGGAATGAACAAGTTGGTGACATACTGCAGCATCAATCTTTTTCCATTCTTCAAGAACTACCTATTTTAGGTCCTGGATGCTGAATGGAGAGTGATGCTCAACTTTTCTTTTCAGAATTTCCCATAGGTGTTTGATTGGGTTCAGATCAGGAGACATACGTACTTGGCCACTGAATCACTTTCACCCTGTTCTTCTTCAGAAATGCAACAGTGGCCTTAGGTGTGTGTTTTGGATCATTGTCATGTTGGAAAAGTGCACAACGACCAAGGGCACTGAACAGGGGCGGACTGACAACTGATGGGGCCCTCGGGCAATAGGGGATCATGGGGCCCCTGTGTCCTTGCCCAAACTCAAAAAAGCCTATGAAAATGGTACCAGGGGCATCTCATGGGGCCCCCTACTGACCCCGGGCCCTCGGGCAGTGCCGAGTTTCCAAATGGTCAGTCCGTCCCTGGCACCGAGTGATGGTAGCATCTTCTCTTTCAATATGGAGCAGTACATCTGTGAATTAACCTCCTTGGCGGTATTCCCGAGTGTAGCTCGGGGTAACATTTCAGTACCAAAAGCGGTAACCCCGAGCTACACTCGGGAATACCCTGCGGCACTGCTCCGGCAAGTGTTCTTCACTTACCTTACCCTGCGCTCCCGCGATGTGTCCCCTGCAGCGTCCCCGGCCATCTCCTTCGGCCGATGCCGGCATCCAGCTTCTGTGTCCTGTCCCTGTGACGTCGGGACGTACGGGCGCCGCCGCCGCCGGCGGCGGGAAATTTAAAAATTTTAAAAAATGTCATTTTTTTTTTTTTTTACGTTTTACATAGTAAAACATTGCTGTCTCAACCAATTTCACATACATATTGTCCCTAGTGCTTTGTCCTGCGCCCTGCCTGCATTTTGTCTGTTCTTTCTGCCTGGAAACTGAGAAATGTCCACAGCGTCCAAAAAGTGTCCCTTTAGGTCAAAAGCGGTTTAGATCAGCTAGAGAACAGCGATAGTAAATCAGAACCACTTGCAGAATTGAGTGATAATGATTCGTGGGGGAAATTTGTCATCAGACACTGAAAACGATTTTGCGACTGAGCTCAGCAATGTGCGAACTTGGCGCTCTATTTCACATTTCAGTGTTTTTGGTTTGATTATATTATTGAATTAAATTTTTTATATATTTTTTATGATTATTTATTAAATTATAATTTATGATTTTGTGTTTCAAATTTTATCATACCCGGGATGCTTACTAGACTCTTGTTCGGACAGATTTCAGTGAGTTTTTTTTCCTAAAAATTACAGCCTACAATAAAAAAAATACATATTTCCATGCAAAAAAATGGTACCGCTTTCAGCACCAAAAATCTGAAATAATCATACCGCCAGGGAGGTTAATGATACCATCAATAAAATGCAGCTCCCTGACACCAGCAGCAATCATGCAGCTCCACAGAAGGACACTGCCACCACATTTCACTGTAGGCATCATGCATTTGTCTTTGTACTCCTCACCTTTGACGATGACATACAGTTTTGAAACCATCAGTTCCAAAGTTCTCATCACTCCAGAGTACAGAGTCCCAGTAGTCATCATCTTCTTTTTCAGCATCGGCCCTTGCAAATTCTAGGTGGGCTTTTTTGTGCATGGGCTTTAGGTGAGGCTTCCTTCTTTGACAACACCCATGCATGCCATTCCTCTGCAGTGTACCCTGTATCATGTCACAGGAAACAATCACCCCAGTTTGGCTTTCTACTTCTTTAGCTAACTGCAGTGAACTTGCATGGCAATTTTCTTCAACCCTTTTCATCAGAAGACGCTCCTGTTGAGGTGTTAACTTCCATGGATGGCCTGGACGTCTCTGTAAGATGATTGCAGTTCCATCTTTTTTACATTTTTGTATCACTTTTGCTACAGTATTCTGACTGATAAGTAAAGCTTTGGTGATCTTCTTGTAGCCTTCACCTTTCTTGTGTAAAGAAATGATTTTCTTTCTCAGGCTTTGTGACATTTCTCTTCCATGTGGTGCCATTGCTGACAGCATAAAATGGGAAGGGGTTTTCTTTGTTAAGTAACACCCTTTTATAATCAACTGTCTGCTGGACACCTTTTTAATAAATATTTAGTCTCACCTGCAGTTGAATTCTTGTTAATTAGGATTTTGTTGTCTAAAATTTAGCTTTGCTCCTAAGACTTTCATTAAAGTGTATTCATTTTTGCAACATGGCCTTGAGTGAATTTGTTAGGAAATATACTTATTTGTGTGCGCAAATTAACAAATCT